CTGCTGAGCTTTTCCAGCAACTTTGTTCTGAGGGAGGGTCACCAGACACAAAACGTTAACTCTGTTTTCTCCTTCACAGATGCTGCCAGACCTGCTGAGCTTTTCCAGCAACTTTGTTCTGAGGGAGGGTCACCAGACACAAAACGTTAACTCTGTTTTCTCCTTCACAGATGCTGCCAGACCTGCTGAGCTTTTCCAGCAACTTTGTTCTGAGGGAGGGTCACCAGACACAAAACGTTAACTCTGTTTTCTCCTTCACAGATGCTGCCAGACCTGCTGAGCTTTTCCAGCAACTTTGTTCTGAGGGAGGGTCACCAGACCCAAAACGTTAACTATGTTTTCTCCTTCACAGATGCTGCCAGACCTGCTGAACTTTTCCAGCAACTTTGTTTTTGTTCCTAATTTACAGCATCCGCAGTTCTTTTGGTTTTTATTTAGTTTTGAAACTAATTATGTCTGAAGCAGGGCCAATGGATTACCATTGATCACATTCATACAAACAATGGTCCCACCCAGAGAGAGAGAGAAAACAGTTGTTGAATTGAAACTGACTCCTTAATGGCGGATCAAATGATCAATACCATTCTGGCTTCTGGAGACATTAACTGTAGTGACAAGACACCATCATTTCAGTCTGTTCAGAAACAGTTTGTTGTAAACATTGAATCAGTTGACTAAGAATCTGATTGGTGACATCACAGCCAGAAGCCAAGTTTAGCTCAGCCTGTGTTGAGTCTAAATCTCCTTTTTAAATTTGAAGTCAACAGTTTGAACCTAAAAAGGAAAGATCAACATACTTTTCAAACAATGAAAATCTAGAAACAGTAAAGGTCCAAAGGTAATTAGGTGTTCATATGTATTGATCTAAAGTGTTATCAACTGCTCCAAGAATAAACTATGCATCTGTTGGAAAATTGTATACCAACTTCATTGTGCCTTTATCAATTTTATAAAAGGAACTTTCAGCTGGGTACACCCACATAAACTCTTACAAAAGGAAGCTTCACTGGATACTGATTTTCCAGAATCCATCAAAATTCACATGAATTAATATCCATGTCTTTGACTTTTAAATTTTTCATATTTGGTAACATGCTTAAAATTTTTTTTGTCTTCCTTGTATGTGTTTGTGTGTGTTGCAACAAACAGCCCCTGGGTTTGAATGATAGTTTTGTTTTTGCCCTGCAGATAGTTTGGTGGCATGATGGCTCAGTGGTTAGCACCTCAGTCTGTGTGGAATTTGCACATTCTCCCTGTGTCGGTGTGGGTTTCCTCCAGGTGCTCCGGTTTCTTCCCACAGTCCAAAGATGTACAGGTTAGGTGAATTGGCCATGCTAAGTTTCAGTGTCCAAGGATGTGCGGGATAGAGGAGTGGGTCTGGGTGGAATGTTCTTTGGAGAGTCAGTGTTGACTTGATAGACCAAATGGCCTGCTTCCACACTGTAGGGATTCTGTGATTCTATGATAGTTTGTTGTGGGTCACTTTAAATTGGACTTCACAAACGGATGGTTTGAGAGGAACACATCGCAATGTATTTCGAAAGGGAAAAGAAATAAAATAATTGTGACACCTCAGCTCGTGAATAGAAGAGAACAATATAATAATTCAGTTCACCTCACCATCTTGTGTGTAAAATGCAGATATTCTAATTAGCACTATGTGACTAGTGGCATCACACGCAACCTTGACTATTCACTATTGATAACTTCAAAAATGGGATAGAGATCCACAATAACACAAAGATAGGTGGCACTGAAAA